ATCTGCTCGGAAGGGTTTCTGACTTGGTAGGTAAGGAAGGTTCCAGAATGTGAAGTGATTTGGAATCTGTCAGGCTGGAGTGGGAGATCCAGGATCAATTTCCCCTTCCTACAAAGAGCTCTAGGTCCTGAGATGCTGTAGCACCATGGCTGCTACTGCCCTTTTCAGGCTGTGGGGAAGGGAGGTATGTTGCTACTTAGGGGTGGTGGCAGTACTGCATCTTCCAGTGCTTTCCATCCTTGAAAATGAATGGTGGAGCAGGGATTTCCTGTGAGAGGCATTCTTCTTTTTTGGGCAGCTTCTGAGCCACATATTGAGCAACTCGGCACTATTACATCTGGGACAGTTCTGGCTATAGTCCTGGGTCCCAGATCAGAGAGAAACATGTCTGTCCATCATGGCCCCATGCTACTCCCACTGCCCTCCTGCTCCACATGCCCGCAGCTATCAGATGTCTTTGGGCACCTGTGGTTGGTTTCTTGGGGACATCTTTCAGGTATGGGTCGTGATTTTCATATGCTTTGGTGGCACATTAAAAATTCTGAGATAACATAGGTTAATTGCAGAGATCACTGTTTATTCGGGTGCCAAGTGAGATTAGAGATTTACAAATATGGGTTGTTTATCTTAATTCTGAAAAGACACTGTATTTAAAGTAAAATTTTCTGCTGATTTTGTTGGTGACAGAAGAAAATGCTGATAGCTGTGCAGTTTGTTGAGTCTTAGAGAATGGGTTTATAAAAACAGTATGTTGACTTTCAACCTCAGGTTGTAGTTACACAGTTGTTGGGTAGTTTGATGTGGGGATTTCATGGCGGATACTGATGAATATGGTGTGTACGTTCACATGGCCAGCTGTGTCCTGGGCTTCATCACCAGCAGGTCGAGGGAGGGGATTCTGCCCCTCTGCTCTGCTCTGGGGAGACCCCCCTGCAGTGCTGCATCCAGCTCAGGGGTCCCCAGGACAAGAAGGACATGGAGCTGTTGGAGAGAGTCCAGAGGAGGCCACGGAGATGATGCGAGGGCTGGAGCACCTCTGCTATGGAGACAGGCTGAGAGAGTTGGGCTGGTTCAGCCTGGAGAAGAGAAGGCTGCGGGGAGACCTTAGAGCCCCTTCCAGTCCCTGCAGGGGCTCCAGGAAAGCTGGAGAGGGGCTGGTGCCAAGGGCAGGGAGTGGCAGGCCCAAGGGAATGGCCTGAAGCTGCAGGAGGGGAGATGGAGATGGGATGTGAGGCAGAAATCCTTCCCTGTGCGGAGGGTGCCGAGAGAAGCTGTGGCTGCCCCTGTCTCCCTGGCAGTGTTGAAGGCCAGGTTGGATGGGGCTTTGGGCAACCGGGGCTAGTGGAGGGTGTCCCTGCCCATGGCAGGGGGTTGGGACTGGATGGGCTCTGAGGTCCCTTCTGACCCAAACCATTCCATCGTTCTGTGATTCTGTGGCTTAAGAGACATTAAGAGGTTTCATTTTGGGGAAGGGAGGAGGAAAGGAAATAGAGCAAAGAGACTTTCTGGAAACTCCCTTAATTTTTTCCTTGTAGTGCACTTAGACACAGCCCTCCTCTGAACTCCTTGTGTTTGGATGTAGGGAAGAATACTCAGCCCAGGTGGATGTTCTGCACAGTTCTTTGGTGGTCAGAGTTTGCTGTAGGAGATCAGGACAGTGAATGATCCAGCCCAGTTATTTCTTGTACCTCACACCCAGCCTGCATAAAACCAAACCAAGTAACAGCCACAAAATTTAGTTGTTTTTGTAATTCAGTCCGTGAGCCAGAGAGTGGAGCCCTTCCTGGCCCATGAAGTGACTTATGGCCCAAAATTTGAGGTTCTGTACCCTTTTTCATAGCTTGCAGACAGCATTGTAGCACTAGCCATAACAAAGGACACATGAAAGTTAACGTGACTTTTCTGTTAGACCTTGTTGTTCCTTTATAGGATTGAGAAACTGCTGAAATGGTCTGTATGAGTACTTGAAGCAAAGGAGAAAAATTCAGAAATAAAAATAGTTTATTGAGGTTATTAGCAACTAATTCTGGTTGAAAGGTGCTGCTCATCATGCCTATTATTTTTTTCTTTTTCCCTGTCTGGAAATTATTTGCATAATATATTTACTGGTTTTTGCATGCATAAGCATTGTTTGTTCTTCCATTTTCAAACAAAAAAGTTCAGCTCCTGTTTCAAAGTTACTTGCTGTGGCATTTTTCCAACTGTCATACGATGTGTGGTTCATCCTCTGGAATCAAAGCGCGTGTTCATTCTGCTTCCTGGGGAGCTGGCTGCGGCTTTTAAAAGGGAAGGAGAGATGCTCAGTAAAGACTAGTGCATTTCGTTGCAAATGTAATATTGATAAAACCCATGAAACCTTCTTAAATAAATGAAATAATAATAAATTCTTAAAAACACATCAATCGTTTGGATTCTTAATGCACAGTTACAACTAAATAGCAGAACCCAGACAAATGCCTTTCATGCCGTACCTGATCAGCACAGCAGATGGAACAATTTTTTTTCATTCTCTGATTAAAGGGCTGGCTTCCTCAATGGGAGAGGATTCTCACACCTTGTGTGAGGGGGTGTCCACGAGTAGCCAGATTTCATGCTTCTTTTCCCACATCGAAAAAAACGCCCTAATTATTAATTAAATGTTAGTTCTTTTCGAAGTTGTGAAAGTGCTAATTCAGCATGGCATTTTGCAAGCTCCAAAGAGTTGTTTTGTTCAAGGAGCTACTGAGCTGACAAAATTGAGGCTGGATTAGCATTTTCATTGCTTGGAGAGATGTAAGGACCTGATGCACCGTGCTCTCTTAGCATGCTTGGTGCTTTATACATCCATTGCCATTCGATGTTGTTACACTTTCTGTACGCAGCAAATGAAAACTACGAATTAACCGAAGTATGGGATCCAGGGAAATTTTCTGTTCATAGCCTTTGCCGTTTTTAACAACGTCACGCTTCGTTGGCTGTAAGCGTGGAAATACGTGGGGGCAGAAGGGAGAGTGCTCCAAATGGGTCCTTGACTCCAGCGCTGCACACGTGGGGCACTGTGCGTGGATGGGGGGCAGCGGGTGGGGAAGGCGGGGCGACTTGGGAAACTTTTCAGTGGTGATGACAAGAAACAGTGAATTAAAATATTTGTTTTCCAGTGCTTGCATTCAACCTGGGTATTTGCTTGTAACATTTCTAACTGGTATTTTCATTGTGGGACTTTCCAGTTGGAGATAGCATGTATAAAGATACGTACATACTTAAGCACACATATATAGGGGGAGAGGGATCTTGGGATTGTGTAAGTAGCATTTTATATTCAGTACATCAAAATATATGTGTATTTGAAAGACTTAATGGCTGATTCTGAAGCACTCTTCCAAAAATAAGTATCATACCAGCACTGCTTCGGAGCAATCACTTTATTGATGTAAATGATGATAGTTTCTGGATAGTTTTATGCTTATTTAAAGAGTGACAAGAAAAAAATCAGATAAGTGAGTTGCAGGATTATTTTGCTCCTCTGCAGTAAATTGATGAGGGAATGCTAGTGAAAGATGCTGGTCTCACCAGGAAGATGTGAGGAATGGTATTTTCCAGAGGGGCTGTGCCCTTGCGCAGGTGTAGGGCACTCCTTAGCACTGAGCCTGGCCTCAAAAAACTCGTCTGCCTCGGGGTTCCCATCTGAAACACTGAGACTGCCTTACCTCTGCTTTGCTGTGGGTTAGAGAATGAGTTGAATTTGTGTCGGAGGCTTGAATAGTTTTGGATGCAGACAGACATCCTTGGGATACACTGTGCCTCTCTGAGCGATGATGATGTTCTTCTCTCGGTTATGTGTGCAACCTTCAGCCTGAGGTTGCCCCTGTGGGAACGGGATGGGTTTTCCTCGTCTCACAAGACCCAGCCAGGGAAGTGCAACCACGGTGCTCGTGACGGGCTCTCCTGCGTGGTTACATCTCAGAAGATCATCCTTTGGCCATTGACCATTGCTGCAGCCTACAGATGTATTTTCATCCCCCTTACTTTTTAGGACTGGCAGCAATTTCCCCACCTGCACAAGCTGCTGTGCCATTCCCGGGTACGGCAGGCCCCCCCCGGGGAGCCGCCGGGGGGGGGGGGGAGGTGCGCCACCCCGCCTCTGGGCAGCCGCGGGGATGGAGGGAGCCCTCCGGGCTGCCACGGGGAGGGAGCCGGGGTGTGTAAACCAGGGCAGGCTGTAGCCTCGGGCATGTGCTTACCTCTTCTCATTTAACCAGCTGGCACAAAGCTATTTTGCATGCCTCTGTTCGTTTCCAGATAGATTGGAGATGACACTCCTGGTTGTATTACTGATGTTAGGTTGATATCTCTATTTTCTCTTCTCTCAGTACTCTGATAGCATGGGGGTGAGGAAGGGCTTGTAAATACCTCCAGAGACGGATAACAAACACTGAAGATTCATGAATTATTTTGGTTACTCTTCAGTTGTCAGCAGCTCAGCCTGATTTAAGTGCTGTGACTTCCTATTTTTCACTTTGGAAGTGACAAGTATTTTAGCAATGTATACTCTGTGATGATATTTGATTAAGATTTGATCCTACAGAAAATTAACCATGTCCTAAATGTGTGCATTGGAAGCTTCAGTGACTTCCCGAGCATCATAGAATCCCAGACTGGTTTGGGTTGAAGGGACCTTTAAAGGCCATCTAGTCCAACCCCTGCCATGAGCAGGGACATCTTTAACCAGATCAGGTTGCCCAAAGCCCCATCCAACCTGACCTTGAGTGTTTCCAGGGACGGGGCATCTACCACCTCTCTGGGCAACCTGCTCCAGTGTTGCAGCACCCTCAGCGTAACAAATGTCTTCCTTGTATCTAGTCTGAATCTCCCCTCTTTTAGTTTAAAACCATTAACCCTTGCTCTATCACTACAGGCCCTATTAAAATCATATGCAGGCGTAGAGTGAAGCATGAGCACTAGTCTGAATATGCAAAATTGGTACTTTATTATTGTAAACTTTTTTGGTGTGTGTATTTCAGCCTTAAAAAAGGGACGTTTTTGGATCACCCCTGACCCATATCACAAAGATGACAACATCCAGATTGGGCGAGAGGTGAAAATCTCCTGCCAGGTGGAAGCCATCCCTTCTGAAGAGCTTACGTTCAGCTGGTTTAAAAATGGACGTCCCTTGCGAAGCTCTGAAAGGATGGTCATCACACAGACTGACCCCGATGTCTCACCTGGCACCACAAACCTGGACATCATTGACTTGAAATTCACTGACTTTGGGACATATACATGTGTTGCATCTCTGAAGGGAGGTGGCATATCAGATATCAGCATTGATGTCAACATCTCCAGCAGTACAGGTAAGGAGGCTCGCTTTGATAATTAGTTTTACTGTGATATAGTCAAACTATGGCTTTCCTTGGCTCATAGAAAAAAGAAATGTACGTGCGGAGCACTTCTCACCATGAGGATATCCAAGCAGACCCTAGATCAGGGGCTGATGGCTTTGAGTAAAGGACAGGAACCTGAATATATGGCATGTGGTGCACTCTCCCAAGAAGACACTAGTCTCTGATTTACCCAGGCAAGCCCTCCTTTACTGTCAGAAAAGTTATTGCTTCTATAAAAGGACTTTGGCCTTTATTTAGGACTTCAAGGCATCCAGAGTGGTGAAAAAATAGCTGGTGGGAAACTACAAGGAGAAACAGGAGGGTGTTATATTAATGAAGCTGAATCCATCCAGCTACTCTAATCAAACAGCAAGTCCCAAGTACGGAGGAAGGAGCTCTTTTTTCTTAAAGATTACGCATTGCACGTTGGTGAATCATGCTATTCCCAATTGGCAAAAAGTTTAAGGTATCTATTACATGTATTTCAGTGATTGAAACATCTCTCTCTTTGATGAGGTAGAACTTTGGCTGTTACTTTGACTGATAATAAATGTCTCATTATTCCTACTATGGAGTAGGAATATGTAACACAATAGTAATTACCCGCTTTTCTTGATCTCATTGCTAAAATCTGGTTTGCAACCAATAGGTTTCACAGACTTTTCTCCCCCAGTAGCTGACTTTAATAACTGAGGTAGTCCATGTTAATGAAATGAACTAGAAAACATTCTGAATGCAGAATCTTTTTCCTGCCAAAAATTACAACAACAACAAAAAAAAAAAGAGTTGTTGCTGGTCGATTTCCACAGAAAAGGATAAGAAAAAAAAAAAAGCATTTATGTTTTCAGAACACTATTTTATGTTAAAACGCAGAGGCAAATAGTGTCAGTATTATATCTACTATCCATCCTGTCTTTTATGTGAAACGTTGCTGTGCTTTTCCTCAGATTGTGCTTATTATTCACTGGGGTAAGGCATGTGGTGCATGCTGTTTAGAAGTGAGATGACAACACATTGGAAAACATTTTTATAGCATGGAAAGAAAATGTTTAATAGACATCTTCTGACCCCTTTTTACCAAAGACATTCAAGTATATGCTTTGTACTTTTTCAAAAAGATTAAATGCACACTTTTGCGTGAAAAGAGTATATCCACATTTCTGTTATCAGAATTACACAATTCTGTTATCAGTATTACATCAGTAATACTTTGCAAGAACATGTCACATCTAGACAGTCTCTCTTACAACTTCTGTGATAAATTATTGTTTAGATTTTAATACATGAACATGCCCTCCATCTTGAGTATGATGCTGGTACCATGGATCCCACTCGAGCACCGTATCGCTTCTGTCATGAGTCTGGAAGGTTTGCCCACTGAAATGGTTTCGTCAAGAATATTGTGTACAACAGGGAGATGAGATGGGATTGACATGTGGTTTGGATAGGCACCTGGGAAGTAAAGCCATGTGATTGAGTGAGGGGTCACTCAAGCAAAATGGACATGTGTAGGCCCACGGGACCGAATAGGACATATCTAAGGGAACTGACCAGTGTCACTTCAAGGCCACTTTATTATCTTTGAAAAGTCATGGTAACCTAAGGAGATCCAACAAAGAATGGAAAAACTGAAATTGTAGCCCATCTTCCAAGAAGGCAAGGAGATGCAGGGGTGTACAGGCCAGTCATCCTCAGCTCAGTCCCTGGGAAGGTTAGGGAGCATGTTCTCCTAGAAGCCATGTCAATCCACGTGGTAGACCAGAAGGAGAGTGGAAACAGCCAGCATGGATTAGCAGAACCAAACTGTGCCTGACCCAACCTGGTTGCCACTGTCTCTGTGGGCAAGGGGAGGGAAAGGAGAGCTGTTTGCCTTGACTTCAGTAAAGTCTTCAGCCCAGTCTTTTGTAGCATCTCTGTAGCCAAAGTGGTGAAGCATGGTTTGGAGAGGCGGACTGGGCAGAAGGTGTGTTTGGAAAATGAGATGCAGAGAGTGTGTTCGCTGATAGTCAAAATTTGTATGTGTATAAGTGAACAAGCGGTCAGCGTTTACACAGTTCACCTTTGCTGTGTCCTACCCTGAAGGACAATGCACATATACACAAACCTGGAGAGACAGGAGGAAAACTCTAATTTTGTATACCTTAATTAGTTCTTATTTTATTATTTGCTATTCATTTTCTATTTGTGGCGTTGCTCAGGGATTCTTGAATATTTTACTACTTTTTGCTAACTTTTGTAAGTATAAACCAGAAGTATTTATTTTTACTATTTGATAACTCTTGAAATGATCTTGAATTTTGTGGGCTTTTGGTTAACATCAGAGTGACTGTGCTGGAGCCATGCAAGGAGCTTGGGGAGATAAGTTGTGGAGAGCTGTTCCCTTGCAGTAGCGCAGGCTGGGGCTGCCTGGGCAGGGAGCAGCTCTGCGGGGTCCCGGTAGGCAGCGGATGGACATGAGCAGCAGTGTGCCCTGGCGGCGATGGAGGCCAATGGATAACGTGTCCAGTTTTGGAACCCAAAATGCAGGAGAGGCTTCAACAAACTGAGACAAGTCCAGTGGAGGCTGTGAAGATGGTTAAGAGTGGTTGGGGAAGGGGGATTTGTTCAGCCTGGAGAAGGGAGAGCCCTGGGGCACCTAACAGCAGCTGTCCCCTGCCTATAAGGGATGTATCGGGAGGATGGAGCCAGGCTCTTCGCAGCAGTCTGCACTGGGAAGGTGAGAGGCAATGGGAAGAGTTGAAATGAGAAGTTCAGACTGGATATGAGGAGCAACTTTTTCCCCATGAGGTCATCTGAGCGGGAAACAGAGACATTGTGGGATCTCCATTCTGGGAGGTTTTGAAGACCTGATAAAGCCCTGAGCAGCCTGGTCTGACCTCACATCTGGCCACGCTTTGCGCTGGGGCTTGGACTAGAGACCTCCTGAGCTCCCTTCCCACCTCAATTATCCCATGGAGACTGTAGGGATAGAAACACCAACCAACCGATTCATGGACAGGGGAACAGCCTTTCTCTTGGCCAAAAGAAACATGTTCTTCCAGCTGATTAATGCACATCTTACTAACAGGTAAAGAACCGAGAGGTTTATTATAGGGTAAGAGCCAAGTTTGGCATGGTGGATGGCAGTTGCATGCAAACTTTGTTACCTGCTTGCCAGGGTGAAATGGACAGTGACGTTTGGGCAGCCATGCATTGCCCATCTGGCAGGCAGTAACCGCTATATTATCTGTACTTGCTGGGGAATCGTTTGGGAAATTGATGGGATTTATTGGAAACATCCATTAGATGGCCGTACCTATAAGCTCGTCACAATTTCTGCAGGCAGTTGTGAATTATGTCAGCTCTTAAATTTACTGCCCTGTATCACTCGAGAAAATCAGAAAGGGGGAAGAAAACCTAGCATTTGGGATCAGCCTTATTTAGCATCTTAAAAGAAATTCTGCCTATTTGTATGACTTCGTTACCCGATTAAGTGGAAGCTGAAATAGTTTCTGTGTGCTTTTGAAGGTCATTACAGATTCATCAAGATTCATTACTGCTGTGGTAATTATGAACATAAGGCCTAGGCACAAACACGTTTTCCAAATGCCAGGACTTGCACCGATATATTAGTACCGCGCTGTGTGCCTGTTTGCTGGTTTTGGGGAGAATTCTCTCTTCCTGAGGTGCATGAGGCTCCTCCTGGAGTGACGAAGGGAGACAGGAGGGGCTGGGTCACCTCCTGAGGAAGGAGGGAGATGGTTAGGTCTCCTCTGTCCCTTCAGCAGATTGGAAGGGGACATGTGGCAGTGCAAGGGACATGCCAGCCTCGTAGCGTACTCCGCATTGCACTTGTTTAGCAGCAATATTTTTCCCTTGACGTTTTGTAATTTCAGCAG